TGGTATGTTGGTATGTTGGTATGTTGGTATGTTGGTATGTTGTTATGTTGGTATGTTGGTATGTTGGTATGTATGTTGGTATGTATGTATGTATGTATGTAGGTAGGTAGGTAGGTAGGTAGGTAGGTATGTATGTATGTATGTATGTATGTATGTATGTATGTATGTATGTATGTATGTATGTATGTACGTGTGTACGTAGGTACGTAGGTACGTAGGTATGTAGGTACGTAGGTACGTAGGTACGTAGGTACGTAGGTATGTAGGTATGTAGGTATGTAGGTAGGTAGGTAGGTAGATAGGTAGATAGGTATGTATGTCTGTGTGTGTATGTATGTATGCATGTATGCATGTATGCATGTATGCATGTATGTATGTATTTGCGTTCGTACGTACGTACGTAGGTAGGTAGGTAGGTAGGTATGTATGTATATATGGTCCCGTGTCCCGTGTTCCCGAGAGCGTGAGCTTGGGGGACCATACCATTGGGGCCAGGGATCCGGAGTCCGGACTCATATATACACGTATATATATACACTCATACATATACGGTTAAATATATATATATATACTTATATGCACTTGTATATATTATATATACATATATGCTTTTATATATATACACTGATATATATTTATATTTATGTATATATATATATACATATATATATATACATATAGATATACATATATATATACATATAGATATACATATATATATATATATACATATATACATATATGTATATATACATACACATATACATACATATCATTATACACATATGCCTGTATACATTATCTATACATATGCACACGTGTATATATACATATATGTATATTTATATGTATATATATATGTATATATGTATATACTTAAATATATATATATATACTTAGATATATAAATATATATATACTTATATATATACTTATATATATCTACTTATATATTTAATTATATATATAGTTATATATATACACATATATTTAAGTATATATATATTTTACATATATACTTATATATATACTTATATATATACTTATATATATACTTATATATATACACTTATATATTTATGTAAATACACATGTGCATATAATGATCATCATGATATAGCAACAAAAAACATCGAATTTGATAGTGAACATAAGATTAATGATACCAATAATAACAATATCATACATTTTACTCACTGCATTGCCATTTGGCTCGAAACAAGGGCAATGGCCTCCAGGGCCGAGGTACCGAAACTCCGCGGGGAGTTTCGCCGCGGTGTTTCCAGGGGTTGCAGCCATCTACCACGAAAAATGTGGATGTCTCCAACAGAAACGGGACAGAACTGGAGATTTATGCAACATAAATGTTGATTTATCCAGCATCAATAGGTTTAAATACCTGCGAAGCTGCAACACATGTGATATATTTGTTCGACCGAAACTGGACATATCAACAACAAACATAAGGAACATGAGAAGGATTTTTTGAGGGTCATATCATCCAACATAGGGTGATGTAGTGTCCATCTTCGACGGTCATCTAGGCCATCTATTCAAGGAACCACCAGGGGATTGCCGTTTAAAGGACTGCTGTTTAGCTGTAGAGTCGTCAAGAAAGAGCCATAACCACTGCGCTGTTCGATATTCTTCAATTTACCCTCTGGGTATTGAACATAAAACTTTGAAAAAACAACCATTTGTGGATGATAAACATGGTGATTTTCCATAGCTACATTAAGCAGAGGGTATCAGGTTTTTGACCGATCCCAAAATTAGTTTGAGCTTCAGAGATGTCCAGTACCAACTGTTGCGGCCGTAGGTGAGTGCCCCTGGCTTGCGGCCACAGCCAACAGGCAGGGTTAGATGAGGACCCAAAGAGCCCTCCTAAAGAAAGATCAATGGATCGCTTTTTCCAGTGTCAAAACGGTTTTCTGATCCAAATAGCTATCAAATCTGACCAATCTTACTCGCTTCTAGTGGTCTTGAGAAGGGTTATCAACCGTTTGGGGATCATGGCAATATTTGTGGGTCCTGTTGAAGGTCCAAACTTGGATCTTTCCAGGTACAGAAACAAGAAATTTGGGGAGTCTCCAGCCTTTTTTTTGGCGGGAGAGTGCTAGCTTCATATTTGGGAACATTAAAAAACATTTAGGGAATACTAAACATGAACAACAGCAGCAGCATCAACAACAACAGATTTGAAGCCTAAGTCTGGGAATAGGTTTAGGTGAACATCACAACTTGTCAGCCAGTCTGGTCGGAAAAAAAAGGGGACTCCTGGCGGGATGCAAATCAAAAAAAAACAGCATAGGAGTCCCGATATTGGAAAGACCAATATGGATCTTCCAATTGCATGTCAACATGGCATTGGTATCAAGAATTTTCGAACAATACTAACTAAACATGCATGACTCACATGACATCCTTGGTTTCAAGCGCCTTAGACTTTTCAATGTTTTTCATCACTAAAAAATCTGCTGAGTTGAGGCTGGATCCTGGCAAGGCCAGGCGTGAGGCTGTGGCTTGGCATCTGGACAATGGATTTCACAAAGAAGAAATCGTGTTTAGGATTGGGGTACCCTCTGGTAAACGTTTACATAACTATGGAAAATCACCATGCTATCAATGGGAAAATCCACTATTTCTATGGTCATTTTCAATAGCTATGTAACAAATTACCAGAGGGTAGGTAAAACTGTTCAGGTGAACTAACTTCAGTCAGAAGGATATGTGGCGCAAGACACGTGATTTGACAGAGGGATTGGGGGATTCAAAGTGAATTAATCAACAGCGATCAAGGGAACATCAACCACAAACTATGGGTTTTAAGCAACAACCATTGGTTAGTTCACCAGAGGTCAAGTGGCTGGAAACCGGTGAATGAGGTAGCTCTTAACAAGCAAAAAGGGGACCTGAACCAACGTCTTTGTCTTTTCCCAGGTATTCTGTCGGTTTTGTGGGTTTTCCTCAGGTCACCAAACTTACCCGGCTTCACAATCATCATTTCTACGGAACATCAACGGGGGATATCAGCCAAGTTTTTTTTAGGAAATAGAAAGCGACCAACACCTGGGATAGGTTCAACCAAAAACTCTACAACGAGTTGGTTGAGAAAAAAAACAGCTGATGATAAACACCATGGTTTTCCGTGACTTTTCCTTGAAGCCGTCCATTTTGCTGGTTGATATACTGACTTATAGTTCTGGACCCAGGCTGAACGTCACTGAGCGGAGCGCGGGAGCTTCAATGGGTTGCACTCTCAGTGGGATACGAAACACCAGGATTTCCTCACCAAAAGTGAGGTGTACCCTCTGGTGTAGTGGGATTTATTTTTTATTTTTATTTTTTAAATGATTTAAAAGGGATTTCACCAACAAACACAACAAACATGGAGATATGAATGGGCAATGCCCTCCGGTCAATGAATATAGCTATGGAATTTGTAGATGATTTGCCTATAAAAAAGGTTGAGTTTCCTCTTCTATGTCCAATTACCATTGGAAACGAAGAACAATGGGAATGTCATACTCTGTATGTACATGAATAAAGTCTGATAGTATCTCAATGACATTTCCTGCAACAGTCGGGTCACAAGGCCATATGAATAAGGGATTGCCAGTTAAAAATGAACAGAACCAAGGTGTGGGACAACAATCCAAGAATGATATGGGATATTAGCAACTCACCAACTGACATAAATCATCAAGATCGGTGCCATTTTCCATAGCTGTGTAAACGTTTACTGGAGGGTAGCAAGGTAACATGAGGAATTTCCATGCCAAGGCACACCCTGAAGCCAAGAAATTTGATGGCGGATTGGGTGAAGATAGAGGGACAGAAACCGGGTTGTTGGGTTGTGTTTATGTAATTTTGGGGAAAGGATTACCCACCCACCATGAGGGATTCCAAGAATCTTGGGCATGTGAAGCCTGTAATTAGTAATACCGTCATTGATATAATCACATGTAGTTATCATTATTCCAACCGCTTTGGGTGACATAAAACCTCAAGAAAACACATCTTCCATGGGTAAACCTCCCCCAAAAGGCCTCAAAATCCCCATAAACCACCACACATCCTCATAAATCCCTACACATCATCACAAATCCTCATAAATCGCGACAAATCATCATAAATCCTCATAAATCCCTACAAATCATCATAAATCCTCATAAATCCCTACAAATCATCATAAATCCATATATATATATGTAATATTATATATATATAATATAATATATATATATATAATATAATATATATATAATATATATAATATATAATATATATATATAATATATATATATAATCTATATAATATATATGATATAAATATATATATATATCTAAATCCCTAGTTTTTTTTATCCCCACAACGCTCCACAACGCCGGCCATTGTCCACAAGGCCAGGATGGTGGTGTCGGGGGAACTGAAGATGCGCCTGGTTGAGTACGGTCCGGGCATCTCAGGAACAGATCTGGAGCATCGGGGCCTGAGATCTGGTAGAGGTTGTGCCTGTGGACCACGGCTTTTTGTGAGTCGTTCAACGAACCCCCCGTGGGAATCCCTATGGATTCATATGGATGAACTATGGTTTCATATGGGGATGGGTCAAAACCCTATCCCCCTGTAGTTCACATCAAAATAGCTGGGATTTATGGATGTTCATCCCACTAAAAATGGTATTAATAGGTATTGATCCATACCCATATGAGAATCATGGGGATGTTTTTAGGGATATGGATCAACATGTCTAACATGTCTTGATTTCTCTCGGGGAATGTACCGAATCAAAAAGGGCATCGGAAGTGAACAAATTCTCACCGGCCCTAGATATTGTAAATGGGATATCATGGAATATCACCAAATGTATATGAGTTACAGTTGAACATTCATGAGCCACTTCATAGCTGGGCAAACCTGAGTGGGCAGTCCATTCTTGAGGGTGTTTTCCCTCGGGTATTTGAACCTTGCAGTGGAAAAGGATCCGTAAAGACATAGAAATTAACCACGTGCTAGGGTACGGCTCCCCAACCACCAATATCCATTTGTCGAAATTTGTAGATGATTTTCCGACTGAAAATGGTCGTTTTCCATTACCTTCTCTGACTTCTGGAGGGACTTGCCTGGTCACTATGAAGTAAACTACAGCTACTTTAACGGGAAAAGCACCCATTTTTAGATGGGATGGATATGTCCGTGGCCCATTACCCATTCTCCACCATTTTTTAATTTCTCCGGTAATCATCTAAAAATCATGATATACCCTCTGGTTATTTAACATAGCCATGGTATAGATGGCCCATTTATAGATGGTTTACCTATTAAAGATGGTGATTTTCCATGGTTATGTTAAATAACCAGATGGTAAGTCTATAGAGTTCATTCAGCATTGGGACATTTTCCAGCCATTCAGATTGTCCCTGTACCATCCTGTACCGCCTTTCTCGCTTCGGTAAGGCAAGTTCAAGATCGTCATCATGGACGCTCCATGCGATGAGAATTCACACCTGCCTGGGGGCCGAGGGACAGCGCGGGTGTTTTTTTTTTGTTTCGGATGCCAGCGGCGACCCGGAGAGATCCCCATGGCTGTTTTTCTTCACTGAAACTTGGGTGTGTCTCAATTCCCACATTTTGGCATGGTGTTTATTAAACCTGGTCAAGCTTTTCCATGATTTTTTCCTGAATCAATTGCACACCAAGCACCTTTTGGCGGCTAGGTATGTTCAGGAGCTCCAAGCGTGTGGAGTGACTGATGTCGTGCCCAACGTGGTGCACTAGTTCTCCTTTGAGGTGATTTAGCCAAAAATCTGGTGATAGAATGGATATAAATATACCATAATATACCCTTTGGTAATCTAACATAGCTATTGAAAATGGCCCAGTCGAAATAGTGAGTTTTCCCATTAAAAAATGATGATTTTCCCATCAGTTTTTATGTTTACCAGAGGGTATATAAACGATGATTGGTGCCATCAGTACCCTTGCCTATTTATAACACCTGAGGGGGACCATGATTTTACGATGCCAGATGAATCTTGCCAGGGGAACTCAATGGGGCTTTGGATGCTGATCATGTTTTGCCATGGCCAATTTGGGGGTTCCATGTCTATAATTAAGAGTTACATAATTAAGAGTTACATAATCTAGTTACATAAGAGTTACATAATCTAGTTACATAATCTAGTTACATAATCTAGTTACATCAAGTTAACCCAATCACAACGCAGTTGGCGCATGGTACAACCCATTTCCCTTTTAACATTGGGGCTGGATATCTGCCGAAGATTTTCATGATCATCCCTATGGTGGAATGCCATAAACCACCCATGACTGGGAATGGTTTCCAAACCACCTATAAATTTATGTTGATGACTGGGAACTGGTTTATGGCATTGTTTTACCCACACTTTATATATGTCACTAATGGTATATTTATATCACAGATTAATATAGATAAATTATTATGGTGAATCATTCTGAAAGTGGTTCATTTCCAGAGGAAGAACACGGTGCCGTTGGTTCCAGTTGGATGGTCGATTCAACCACGGTTGCTAATGGTGGAGAAAAAACCTCGCCCCCAATAGGCCCAACCCAAGTTCTCCTGGTGAAACCAACATGTTTCGATGATCAATCTCCAAAACTTCCCCATTTCGAAGGTGTTTTTGGTAATCACCCCAAAAATAGAGCTTCCGGGATGGTATAGATGATCTTTTCCGCCAACAGTTGCTAGGTTTTAACCACTTTTCGGCACTTTTTTGGGGGTTACTTAATATGGCCAACAGATGATTTATTCATAGGAGGGGCATTTTCCCGGTGAGCTTACAGCATCTTACAGCTCCATGGCCCCGGCGAAGGACAATCCATGTGTTTTCACCGGATATCGATGGGTCATTTATGGGTCATTTATGGGTCATTTATGGGTCATTTATGGGTCATTTATGGGTCATTTATGGGTCATTTATGTCGATATGCATCGCACAGCCAGGTACGAACTTGCGAACCAACGTATTCACCCGAGCTTTTTGAGAAAGTGGGCATTAAGGTGCCACTTCACACGGCGGACTGGGATGATACACTTTACCACCCCATCTGCACGAGATGTAACATAGAATCCAAGTTTTTGGGCCATGTCCGGCCCATCCAAGAGACGTGTCATATCTACCTTTTAAATCCAGCACGGCACTTGCCCAAATTTCCAAACCAACATTGCTCTCGAGCCAAAACTGGGTTATATCAAGTTATGTCCGTGGTTAGCACAAGTAATGGCCATTGTAATTCCAGTTGACATCGGGATATATGGGGATGGGTCAAAACCCTGGTACCTAGTGAACCCCAAAATAGCTGGTAAATGGATGTTCATCCCCCTAAAAATGGTATCCCTAGGTATTGACCCATACCCATATATATATATATATATATACATGGATGCATGGATATACCCTCCGGTAGCCGGGAAATCCCATCAAAAATGGAGGTTTTAATGAGAATATCATCTGTAAACGGAGATTTGGAATTGCCATGTTTGATTACCAACCGCCGGTACTACACCCACATGGATAGTGTTGGTGAAATATCACCATGATATCCCCATGAAATATCACACAGTCCCTATTACAACCCTATTAAATCCCGAATATATGTATATATATATATATGTATATACATATACATATATATATATATATATTTTTTTTTTAAAATGTAGTCATGGTTATTCAGTATATCCCCATGATATCCCCAAGACATATCACACTTTTCTCCAGCATTCTGGGGCCAGCCTTTGGCGAAACTCGCAACCGCCAGGTCCACGAAATGACTTTTCCGGATGGCGCTGCTCCTCCCGAGGAGCTGGGGGAGCTGGGGGAAGCTGGGGGATGTTGGGAGGGTGATGAGTTTGGCCCATGGTTCCAAGAATGACCATATCATGTAGTTCAGTGTTGGATAACAATAGATAACATCTAAATATGTGACATACTTATTGGTTGTATACCATGGATGAAGGCCAAGCAAAATGATATTCGATTTTTCTAGTTCGCATCCGAGGTGTCAGCCACAGACCTGCGTGGAAGAAATCCAATCGACTCCTAGTTGTTTTGGCACCGAGAATAGACTTGAGGGATAAAGTTCTGTAGATTTATATACACCAATATCCACCATAAGATGAAATTAGAAGAAATTGGCACGGAGGATTTCTGGATGTTTCTAGAGATCAAAAACGATTTTCTGAGTTCCGCAGATTTTGCAGGATCTGATTCTCAAATGGAACGGCCGGGAGACCTGGATGCTGAAAAAGTGCCATTCGCCTTCTGGGCATTTGCCAATCATCCCAATCCTTGTGGCTCGCACATGTATATATAATATATATCATATAATTAAGGTGCAATCTATACTTATAACAATATAATGTATCTGCAATATTGTATATATATATGTATATACACCTACATACACACACTTGAAAGACCGTATCTCGTCTATGAGTCTTTTGATTCCCGATAGGGTATCTGAACTGAGTTCAGAAAGGCCGTCTTTGTCCACTTTGGACAAAAGTCGCAGAAATTGGTAAAAACTGAAAAAACTGAAAAATGCGTAACGGACTCCGATTTCTCGAATTATTCATGCATATGACAAAAGACTGACCGAAAATGCATCAACAAGCTTGAATAATGAGAAAACATCATGACCAACTGCAGGTACGTCAGGGTGATCAGCCCTGATATCCCATCCAAGACCGTAGCTTCGTTGCACACGGTGGGTCAAGGATGCCGTGTGCCCCTGCTTGTAAATTGGGAACTGAAACTAAAAATTGGACATGTGAAGAAAGCCCTTCGGAACAGGGGTTGCCCCCACACACAAAGGCCGTATGTCGCGAAAATATATCACCCGTTGCTTTCAGCAACTGTGATCTTGAAAAAACTGTTCCCGCGAACTTCAAAATGATTCCATGGCGAAAGTCTGAGAAACGAATCAGGAAGGCATTACAAAAATGAGCCCACATAGAGGCAAGAAATGTAATGAGAAAAATGCAATGACAAAAATGCACGTCCATGAAGATATCGGGACAACACGGACAGCAACAATACTTACTTGCGCTGGTTGAGTGCTTGATCGACGTCAGGTTGGGAAAAACCTTTCTGTACATATAAGGCGCCCAGCTGCGTCAAGCTACTGGAAATTAAACTGGTCGGATACGTGTATTTTCGAAGTAAATGAGCCCGGCTTTTTCAATCCACTCATTCTGAGTCGGAGTGACCCCTGCCTGTAAATTGGGAACTGAAACTAAAAATTGGACATGTGAAGAAAGCCCTTCGGAACAGGGGTTGCCCCCACACACAAAGGCCGTATGTCGCCAAAACATAGCATCCGTTGCTTTCAGCAACGGTGATCTTGAAAAACTGGTCCCGCAAACTCCAAAGTGATTTCATGGCGAAAGTCTGAGAAACGAATCAGGAAGGCATTACAAAAATGAGCCCACATAGAGGCAAGATATGTAATGAGAAAAATGCAAGTCCATGAAGATATCGGGGGCAAAACGGACAGCAGCAATATTTACTTGCGCTGGTTATCAGGTTGGGAAAAACCTTTTCTGTACATATAAGACGCCCAGCTGCGTCAAGCTACTGGAAATCAAACTGGTCGGACACGTGTATTTTTGAATTAAATGAGCCGGGCTTTTCAAGCCCGTCATTGTGATCCCGCAGAGACGCAATCTCTAATCTGACATATGTCAGGTTGAAGATATTCAACAGTGCGTCTTTCAACGTATTATTCGAATTAGATGAGCCCGGGTTTTTGAGTCCACTCATTCTGAGACGGGCAGATCCCGCGGATACACAATCTCGAATTTGGTGCACATCCGGTACTGACTCCGGGTCAGAATCACAAGTGCAGGCAAAAAGGGACAGGTTCACAGGTGGTCAAAACACCTCGGATACCGGGTGACCCCCCACTTGAAAGCCGTGTTGTCGCAAACAATCATCGTAACGTGCTGTTTCATCTGGCTGAAAAATACGGTAAGTGGAGAAAACGTCGGATCGATTAAAACTTTTCTGTACATATGCTAATGCGAAAAGGCTGTGATTAAAAATCCGGTGGGGACTTGGACTATGAAAAAATGCGAAACAAGCTTGCACAACGAGGAAAAAAAAAAGCAGGGCCAGACACTCAATGTGTGAGAGGCAGGATGAGAACGCAATGAAAAACCAGTTCCAGTTCAACTGGACTGCCACTAAAGTCCAAGCCTGTAAAGACTTGAGAAACGGAGGTCTGAAGGTGTGAAGGTGGTCTTTTCTGTACAATGGGAAACCTATTGTCGAATTATCAACGTATCTGACTACAAGATGATCGAAACAAGGTTGAATCAAAATTTGAAACGTACTGCTCCACGACCGTTGGTTGTGGTCATGGCCAAATTCGACAGTGTCAAAGATGTCTGACTTCCGACTCCTACACTTCTAATCTGACGCAAAATCCAAATCAGTGCGGAACAAGCTAGCATAATGGAGAAATCGCAATAGCGAGACATGTTAATGTCTGAAGATGGAAATCTTGTCTGTACATACAGCGGTGCTAATTTATGCAAAGAAGTTCGGGTTTGTGACTACGAGTATTGAATTAACTGAGCACGACTTTTGAGCCCGATGCACCATGAGAATGCAAGGAAAACAAGTTCCAGTTTAACTGGACTGCCACTAAAATCCAAGTCTGTAAAGACTTGAGAAACGGAGGTCTGAAGGTGGTCTCTGCTGTACAATGAGGAACCTATTGTCGACGTATCGACGCAGCTGACTACAAGATGTTCGAAACAAGGTTGAATCAAAATTTCGAAACGTACTGCTCCACGATCGTTCATTGTGGTCACGGCCAAATATTACAGTGTCAAAGAGGTCTAACTTCCGAGTCCTGCACTTCTAATCTAACGGAAATTCAAATCAGTGCGTAACTAGCTTTCAAAATGGAGAAATGGCAAGGGCCAGGCACTGTCAATGTCTGAAGATGGAAATACTGTCTGTACATACAGCGGTGCTAATTTATGCAAAGAAGTTCGGGTTTGTGACTACGAGTATTGAATTAAATGAGCAGGACTTTTGAGCCCGATGCACAGTGAGAATGCAAGGAAAACAAGTTCCAGTTCAACTGGACTGCCACTAAAATCCAAGTCTGTAAAGACTTGACAAACGGAGGTCTGAAGGTGGTCTTTTCTGTGCAATGAGAAGCTTATTGTCGATCCGTCATGGATTGATGGGCGGTCAATGTATCTGACTACACTACTCGATGATCAAAACAAGGTTGAAACATTTAGGTTTTGAAAGGTAATGCTACACGATTGTTCAATGTGGCCACTGCCAAATTTGACAGTGTCAAAGATGTCTGACTTCCGATTCTTTCACTTCGGATCTAACGCCAAACGTTTCGGCAGGCTTTGCCACATGAGTGTGAAACAAGCTTGTATAACAGGGAAAAGCCAAACATTTCTGCAGGCTTTGCCACATGAATGTGAAGCAAGCTTGTAAAATGAGGAAATGGCAGGGCCAAACACTGTCAATGTCTGAAGAATGAATTCGCGTCAAGAATTGAAATTCTTGAGAAATCTAACGCGAATTCCAAATCAGTGCGATACAAGCTTGCACAATGGAGAAATCGCAATAGCGAGACATGTCAATGTCTGAAGATGGAAATCCTGTCTGTACATACAGCGGTGCTAATTTATGCAAAGAAGTTCGGGTTTGTGACTACGAGTATTGAATTAACTGAGCACGACTTTTGAGCCCGATGCACCATGAGAATGCAAGGAAAACAAGTTCCAGTTTAACTGGACTGCCACTAAAATCCAAGTCTGTAAAGACTTGAGAAACGGAGGTCTGAAGGTGGTCTCTGCTGTACAATGAGGAACCTATTGTCGACGTATCGACGCAGCTGACTACAAGATGTTCGAAACAAAGTTGAATCAAAATGTCGAAACGTACTGCTCCACGATCGTTCATTGTGGTCACGGCCAAATATTACAGTGTCAAAGAGGTCTAACTTCCGAGTCCTGCACTTCTAATCTGACGGAAATTCAAATCAGTGCGTAACTAGCTTTCAAAATGGAGAAATGGCAGGGCCATACGCTGTCAATGTCTGAAAAATGAATTCTTGTCTGTACATGCAGCGGTGCTAATTCATGCAAAGACTTTGAGGTTGGTGACTACGGGTACGTGTGTTGAATTAAATGAGCACGACTTTTGAGCCTGCTCAAGAAAATCGGTCGACAAGGTAGAAGTGATGATCTGAGCCATTATGGCATTCAGTCCAATGACAAGTTTAATTCAATATCGAATGAAAAATCAAGCTGAATGAAATTCAAAAAACCTGACCGGAGCTTGAGTATCCGATCGCCAAGCAATGCCTGTCAAATAGTGGCTGTGGGTGTGTATCACCCACATGCGGCCACGTTTGTGATGGCAACAAAATTACCAAGTATTTTGTGGCATGTGTGAAGGCCAGATGAATGATTTCATCGAGGCCTCTGTCTGGTGCCGCTCGTCTTGGTGGCGGTGGCATCCCTTCTGGAAGGTTAGCTCTATTATACAAAACTGAGATCGGCAAAAGGTAAAAATGCTCCATTGGAGCCGGTTGGTCAGATCCCTGATTCGATCCGTAGTAGCTGGGATCATACTTGGCCATTCTCATGGGTCCCAAATCTTGTGACAAAATGTCAGCCTGTGCCAGTAGCTTGGCTACATGTTGCAAAAAGGCTTCAGAAGTGGGATGCTCCTTGACTTATTGATTCAAAAGGATTTCAAACAAGGAATACTCATGATCATTTAGCGGGACATGGCCTGACGGCGTGCTCGGAATCGAAAACGAATTACAAGGAGCACTGCCTAAAGGCGTACTCAAAGATGTATTCGGAGCACTACGATCCCTGGTGGGTATGTATGATGGGCTTGCTGTAAAGAGCGAGCCTCTGATCGAACTTCACTGACACTAGGTCCTGGGGACCGAGATCGTGCACGGCTATCGGATCTAGATCTCGTTTGACGAGGTCTACGGGATCGAGAAGATCTGGATCTCAGTGGTGGAGGTTGTAAAGGTCTCAAACTGCT